CCCTCTTCTCTCCTTTTGAATTCGGAGTTATGTTTTTACTCATCTGGATCTCAACAGTACCATCGGGATCCGAGTCGCGTCTGTATTTCAACAGTTACACTGGTCTGCCAGCTCAGCTAGATCAGTTGCTCTCATTAGTCCTTTTTTTTTTTTTTTTTTGAGTCTTCGTCTATGATGAGGTAGAGTGTAGGTAGGTTCTGAAAAGAAAGATATGTTAAAAAAAAGAAAAAAAAAGAAAGATATGTTCCATGATGACGTGGCAGAACGCCAGTGAAAAGATATGTGAGGTGAGAGAGAAAAATATATGGATGTCCCTCGATGAGGAGAAGTCAGCTTTAAAAAAGAAAAAAGAAAAAAAAAGAAAAAAAAAAACATGAACATTTGTATTCTTTCCTAGGCTACCAGAGTGGCCCGGGTCCACTTGCCCGGCCAGGCCAAAAAGAAATAAACAAAAAAAAAATAGTTTTTAAATTTAAATTTTTATTTTTAATTTGGTAAAGAATTTCAATGTGACCCTGAGGCAAAAGTTGTTCAGTTTATTTTTCTGCATAACATAGTTTTTGTTTTTCGGATTTTTTCGTTTTTTTTTTTTTTTTGGCTGGGACCTTAGTAGTCCTTGCACGGCCGGGCCGCCCGGGAAAATAGGGTGACCAGGGCGGCCGGCCTGGTAGCCTAGATTCTAAAAAAAGAAAAAAAAGAAAAAAAACATGAACGTTGTGGTGACTCGAAGACCAGTCAAGGCGGCTCATGATTTTTATTTTTTTCTAAACAAAAAATAATGGCGGCTTAAGAACGTAACGTGGAGTCACGGTACGCTCTATACGTCTGCGCTCAACGAACATGAACATGCCGTGAGTCCAAGGCCAGGTTCATGATTTTTTATTTGATTTTTTTCCTTAAAAAAACGGCTCGCAGTACTGCAAGGATCTTGTTTTTTTTTTTTTTTTAATAGAAAAACGGTTCTTTTTTGTTGTTGTTGTTGTGGTTAAGAAAACGCGTATCTGTATCTTTTCCTAAACAGACTTAAGTAGTATAGCATCTGCTATGTCAACTGAGTCTATGCTACCCTATAGACCTAAGTAGTATAGCATTGGGTTTTTTCCATCTTATTATAATTTATAATCTAAAAGTTTCTTTTTCTTTTTCTTTTTTAATTACTCTATGTGCTTCAATAGTATTATTAGTATAGCATCAGTTATTTCATCTGAGTCTATAGACCTACTTAGTATAGACTCTGAGTCTATAGACGTACATAGTATATACTATATCGCATCTGCTTTTTCCTTCTGAGTCTCCTTTCTTAAATACTGTGACCTCTCAGCCTGCTGCTTCAACTGACTCTATAGACCTAAATAAATAGTATGCTTTGCCATCTGCTATTTCATCGTATAGTATATTGTATATGCTATTCTATATAGACTTCACCAGGATAGCATCTGCTACTTCATCTTAGAACATAGACTTTAGTCAATCCACTCAATTCAATCAAACCCATCAACCAATCAATCAATCAATCAATCAATCAATCAATCAACCAATCAATCAATCAATCAAGCAAGCAAGCAATCAAGCAATTGAATCAAGCAATCAATTGAATCAATCAATCAATCAAGTGAATGAATGAATGAATGAATCAATCAATGGGTCGATCAATCAATCAATCAATGGTAATGAGAGGCAGTCGTCGAGGCAGCAGGCAAGCATCTTGTCTTTTTCAGCCGTGGGGGGTTGTGCCACTGCAGTCCTTTTCAGCTGTGGGGGGTTCAATCAATCAATCAATCCCTAATCAATCAACCCAATCAATCAATCAATCCAATCCAAGCAATCAATCAAATCAATGAACCTATCAAATCAATCCAATCAATCAATCCCTAATCAATCAACCCAATCAATCAATCAATCAATCCAATCCAAGCAATCAATCAAATCAATGAACCTGTCAAATCAATCCAATCAATCAATCAATCCAATCAATCAATCAATCAATCAATCAATCCAATCAATCCAATCAATCCATCAATCCAATCAATCAATCAAATCCAATCAATCTAATCAATCAATCAATCAATCATCCCAATCAATCCATCAATCCAATCCAATTCAATCAATCAATCAAATCAATGGACCTATCCAATCAATCCAATCAATCCAATCAATCAAT